GATTTACAGATGGGGCGTTCTATTCTGCTGAAGATGTTAGGAAAAACAAGGACAGGGTAGAGGGGTTCCTGACCACACGATATTACTTGGAACAAAAAAAAAAAAAAAAGAAAAAAAAAAAAAAAAAAAAAAAAAAAAAAAAAAAAAAAGGGGCCAAGTACAACAAGAACAATGGGGCCAGAGGGAGAAATTCCAACAACCAAGTATAACAACAACAACAAAAACGACGCCGACGACAAGAAGAAGATGAACAACGACAAATGAGGGCATACTCACACTAGGACTTTTTTGGCTGAGCTCTGGACCCGATTGCAGTAAGATTCATCCAGGTCTGGCCATAATTGCAGTCAGATACATTTAAGAGAGTGCTAGCCTGAGTACACCCTGGGAGGGAGCAAAAGACGAGAGAGGTGGGAGAGGAGTCCGCTTCCCTTTTCACAGAAAAAGAGAGAAATTAAAATTAAAATTGAAATTAAAATATATATATATCACCTACTAACGTCAGCCAAGGTAATCGGCAGTCGTATTCCAACTCCTCCATCGTTCCAAGGACCTGTTCACCCTTCTTGGAGAGACCCCTTTTCCCTAGAAGTCGCAAGACGGCAAGGAAGGTCTGAGGGCTGTCTCTTATACACATCTAGATGTGTATAAGAGACAGGAGAGAGAGAGAGAGAGAGAGAGAGAGAGAGAGTACTTCCATCGATAGGATCAGCAGAATCGAATGAATCTACCGCTGCGACATCGAAATATACACTTTTCCTTCTTTTTTTGTTTTTTTTTGTGTGTGTCCTCGGAAACTTCGCAACTGCCGGGCCATTTTGCAATGTTGGCCGGCGTCCCGTACGGGTCCGTTGCAAACATCAAAACCAACTGGTGGCTGGGTTGTTTCGCAAAATGTTTTCTCATCGTCCTTCGCTGCGGGGGGTCCACTTGTCGTCAAATAAACTATATATCGGACACCCACTGCCCGGGACCACCACTTGCAAGTGGCCCGGGGCCACTGTCAGAACATATTGCAAGGAAAATGAGCAATAGCGAATTCCAGAAACCAAGCAGCATCGTACACATGAAACCAGATAGTCGTGACCTCGAACCAAAAGCAGAATTGCAACTCGAGCTCCGCCAAATAAGAGCACAGCAAAAGCTCACAAGTGACAATGTTGGAATAGTCTCATCATCATCATCAATGAACCAATGTCGATTCCCTATCTGGCACTCAGCGCCCAGACTACGAATGGCAGATCCTATCTAGCCTATCTACAATGCCGCTGGTGACGTCAACAGCTCCCCGAAGAACGAGCAGATCTCGGCCAATGCCATTCGCCTCAAGCACCAGGTATGTCTCACGCATCACTCACAACCTCGATCCCCCACACAGATGCCACGTGCACCCGAGGACCACCATGCGCCCCATCCAGCACCTTGCAGGCCAGCTCAGCTATGGCTGCCTGCGTGTACCTTGCTCGCCCGTGAGCGCCTGGGCGCTTGCCTGCCAGTAGCGCAGCAGCACTTGCGCAGCATGTAGCAAGTGCCCGAATGCCGAATGCGGAGGCAGGCACTTTCCTATATGGAAGTGGCCTGCCTGCTACGTGCTGCCTGGCTGTGCTGGGCCCCTGCCCACAAGCTTCCGGTAGGCCCCAGGTGGCTGAGCCCCGGTCCAAGGGAATCAGGCACAGGTCCTGGGGTGGTTACGCATGTCCAACTGCCAA